TTTTTTTATTGTCTTTTTTTATTTGATATTCATTGTACCAGTGTACATGTTAAAGATATCAGTTGTCCACATTGTTCAAACTCTTGGACACTTTTCCGCTGCGCATGGATCATATACATTATCAAAGCAATCCTTTCTTGCGGTCATGTCTGCTATTGCCGCACATTGACTTGCTTCGTCTGAACAACCAGGACAAAAAGCATCCACACTCATGTCTGGCCATCCAACTAGCACAAGCACACAGAGTAGGGCAATAACACGTGGTGACATCTTTCTTTATTAATCTGAAATAAAAGTAAAGTCTAAACTCTGGAAATCAAATTCTGAGCCAAGTCATAGCTGCAACCTTGACTTAGTCATTAATTCAAAGCAGAAGGATTATTCTATAGATAATATAGATTCAATTTTTTTTTTAGTTATGTTTATTTCACGCCGTTTCTCTTTACAACTGAATATTGTTTTTTGCATCTCTAATCTAAATGCTATTATTTTGCCCAATAGACGGAAAGAAATTTAAATTAATTCATTTGAAGGCTTATATTTGAAACATTTCAAGACTTGTAGTTTGACATAGACTTATCAACTTATGAAATAAAACATTCACATAATCAAAACAATATTTTAACAATTTTATATCATGAGCCTTGTCTCATTGGTTTAGAATAATAGTTGAGATTTTAAAAAAATCAGTTGCTGTCATAATGATCTCTTGCAATAAATAAAGTTTCAATTAATTCACTCAACTATCATCACTGTATTAATTCTATCAGAATAATTTTGTTTTAATACAACACATTTTGCTGAAGTTACTCCCAAACAAATTAAGAGTGTACCAAAACAAAAACATCTTGCGATTTCTACTCGAGTATGAAAAACTAAAATAAAAACTTACTCAAATAAAAATTTACTCAAATTAAAACCTACCTGTCCAATACTTCTACCTGCTATCAATGTAGGCTGACTGAATATCTGTATCTTCGTCACATCTATTTATTATATTTTGTTAGAGATAATCATTTCAGGGGATTTGTGTATTTGATTGAAATCCTGTTTTGTAAGATTAAAGTATAATGAAGAACCAATCCTAAATTGCTTTTTTTATTTTTCTGTATACTATTCATCAATTCATCAATTTAGGTTATGTCAGGTTATCTTGTGGTGTCACATTTACCTGAAGTATGTCAGGTTAATCTGAATAGCATTTTCATGTTCAGTTAATATGGGGTAAATAGGGGAAAGGATCTTTGAATATCCCTCTATTCTGACTGGTCAATGTGGCACCATGTAATGAAAATATCACAATGTAATTTCCACTTCCATCAATTTTTGGTGATATAAGAGAGATAGAAACAATCTATACCTTTGCATTATTGCTAGCAGTTTTATGGATGTATTCATTAGTATATTATATCAAAAGGTATTTTGATTGATATAAGGCACCACATTTAAAAATCGAATCTCATTGTCTGCAATAAAATACATCTTTTTAAATACAGTAGAACCTATATATTCAAGCTGCACCTCTCGAATCTGAAAACTTATAGATGTAAACACTTTATTGGTCCCTTTTTTGGCTCGTGCTGAGGCAAGAGCCATATCTCACTTAGGTTTAGTAGTAAGTGATAATGACAATTGACTTGTTTGAGGTTTAAACGTTAGTTTTTTACTAGTAGGAATCCTGATGGGTTAATATTTATTGATGAAAATGAGTTAATTCCTCGAACAAAAGTTTAACCCTAAGGTGTTAGTTTATAATAAAATTGCGATAGAGAGGGTTTCAAACGACACATACGCAATTTTACAACAACACCATGAACACTGTGCACTGATTTTCGGCAACATGATTTCCTAAATACGACAGAAATACGAGCGACTTCTTGATTTAGAATTGTGAACAATTTACACCATTAAAAATTAATATCCTCGTAGAACGAGAATCAAATTGACCCATCTTCACTTTTTGATATGTTTGGATGTTTTCTAAGAGGTCCAGGTACTCAGACCTTCACAATTTAAAGATCTTAATCAGTTCAAAATGTTCGGATTTTTTCTACTTTTGCCATTCGGTAAATGACTGATTGAATATTCTTGCCCGATTAAGTGTTCTTGACTTATTGGCATGATTGGGTGTTATTGACTGATTGGCATGAGTGGGTGTTCTCGACTGATTGGATGTTCTTGCCTGATTGAATGTTCTGACTGATTGTGAGTTTTTGACTGAGTAAGTGGCACAGCAAATTAACCATTCTCACTTAAACAAGTATTCCCTCCCATTTGGTTCCAATGAGCTATCATACCTGAAAGTTACATTAGAGACAAAAAACAACTGTTTTTTTATTGTCTTTTTTTATTTGATATTCATTGTACCAGTGTACATGTTAAAGATATCAGTTGTCCACATTGTTCAAACTCTATGGACACTTTTCCGCTTCGCATGGATCATATACATTATCAAAGCAATCATTTCTTTTGACCTTGTCATCTGTTATCCCTACACATGCACTTGCTTCTTTTGAACAACCAGGACAAAAAGCATCCACACTCATGTCTGGCCATCCAACTAGCACGAGCACACAGAGTAGGGCAATTACACGTGGTGACATCTTTCTTTATTAATCTGAAATAAAAGTAAAGTCTAAACTGGAAATCAAATTCTGAGCCAACTCATAGCGGTAACCTTGACTTGACTTGACTTTGTCAAGGATTCAAAGCAGAATGATGATCTATAGAAAATATGGATTCAATTTTTTCAGTTACGTTTATTTCACGCCGTTTCTCTTTACAACTGAATATTGTTAAGTAGATGAGAGTACACATATATTTTTCAAATTATGTTGTAACCATTCAAAAGATGACCATTAAATTTACAATGTGACAAATTTTCAGAACTTTTTGATGACTGATTTAAGAGAAATGTGTGTTCAAAAAGTTCGCCATATGGATACCCATCTTTTATCCATACCTTGAAAATGAAACTCAAATATAAACTTAACTCTTTTCAATATGAGGAAAGCATTTTTAAATGTTTGAGAGAAATATTCATAAATTTATCCATGCCCTGAAAATGAAACTCAAATATAAACTCTACTCTTTTCGATATGAGAAAAGCATTTTTGAATTTTTGAAAGAGAAATATTCATAAATTTTATCCATGGCTTGAAAATAAAACTCAAATCAAAACTTACCTCTTTTCAATATGAGAAAATAATCTTTAAATGTTTAAAAGAAATATTCATAATTTTATCCATGCCTTGAAAATAAAACTTAAGTAAAAACTTCCCTCTTTTCAATATGAGAAAAGCATTTTTGAATTTTTGAAAGAGAAATATTCAAAATCTTATCCATGCCTTGAAAATGAGACTCAAATATAAACTTAACTCTTTTCAATATGAGAAAAGAATCTTTAAATGTTTGAAAGAAATATTCATAATTTTATCCATGCCTTGAAAATAAAACTCGAATCAAAACTTACCTCTTTTCAATATGGGAAAATAATCTTTAAATGTTTAAAAGAAATATTCATAATTTTATCCATGCCTTGAAAATAAAACTCAAATATGAACTTACCTCTTTTCAATATGAGAAAAGCATTTTTAGATTTTTGAAAGAGAAATATTCATAAATTTAATCCATGCCTTCAGAATAAAACTCATATCAAAACTTACCTATTTTCAGTATGTTTACCTGTTCTTGGTCAAAATGGGATGAAATGACTGTTGATTGGGGATCTGTACCTTTCTCATATATATTATATCTATCTCTTCCTAAAAGTTATAATCATAGATACACTTTTTATTTAGGTTTTCTTTAAAAATCCTTGGATATCAATTTTCAGATTGTCACATGATTGGAAGTTCTTTTTATTATTTCCATAGTATTTCTAATGTTTCCTCTTTTCGTTTCTGCCTTTTTGATAAGATTAAATGAAAATGAAAAATCTTAAATAATTTTGTCAGGGTTAACATTTTAGTGGCTTTGTGTAGTTTTAATTAGAATCTTTGTTATTTGATTAAATTGTAATGAAAAACCAATCCTTAATTGCATTATTTTATTCATCAATGGGATTCAATTATATGAACATCTCTTATTCTTATTTTACATCGAGACTTACTTTGTTTCTATATTTGTGACCTCATCGTCTGTATCTATTGTCTCGCTATCAAACAAATGCATAATGCCGCATTACATGTTATGTCAGTTATGTGATGTCACATTGAATTGTGATGTCAGGTTAACATGTATTAACATTCACCTATTTCTGCCAAGTTTTGCCAAAATCAGCCAGGAAGTCAGAGAACTGTACGGGCACCAGGAGGTTATTGCTAACTATTGCCCAATTTTTAGACATTTTACGAGCAAGGAAAATGAACAACCCTGGTCAAATTTTCACATCTAAGATTTCTGATGCGATCGTAATACTGCAGAATCAGCAGAATTTGGCAAAATTGTGCTTACCCTGGTAGATATAGGAAATTATTTTCATGTGTATTAAGTAGTTTTTGCAAAAGGAGGCAATACTATTGCCTGGTTATATCTATCATGAAATCTATAAAACAATGATTGATTTTATAAAATATGTTTTGTTCAGAGGGATTGCTGTTTTTATGTGGTGACATATTGTTATAGTCTCCAACGTTTTTTTGTGGATGGTGTTTGGATTTCAGCATCTGTAACAAATGGCAGGAGGTGACATTTTGCATGTTAATGCCTCGGTATTGGATATTCTGTATAATACACAGGTCAAACTGTTACTTCTTGTAAATTATGGTAGGTAGTTTCAGCCTTGTAAAGTTGTCTTACTCATTGCTTGATTATACTGCATAAGCTGCTATGAAGAATAAGGACCGCGGTCTAATATACACATGATATTTGCTTTTGCAGCATGTCTTTCAACATGGACACTCAATTTAAAATGGCTGTCATTTTGAGTCGAAAAATAAGATATTTGCTACCCAGGGAAGCTCTGTTATAGTAGTACTGAAACAAGATTAAAATTGTATATTTTCCAATCATTTTTATTTCAATTATCCATTAACAGAATTATTTTCTTTTGGGCAACAGTCAGCATTTTTTTTTATCTTGTCTTCCTTGCAAGCATTTTCCTTACACTTATCATGCTCAATGAAACAGTTCCCTCTTTTGGGTTCTTTCAAAATATATCCACAAGTCATTGCCTTTGTAAGACATGGCATGCATATGCTGGCATCTACGCCCATATTAGGACATCCTACCAACACCAACACAAGCATTATGGCAATCAATTGCTGCGACATCTTTGAATAACTGAAAAAAGGATAATGTTAGTGTATAATAACAGTGCATCTGTGGAGGAAGATTCCCATGTAAAATCACAACATCTCAGCAATTTAACATTCGGTCCACATAATCTAAATAAAGAGTATATAGTGTAAAAGTTGAAACCTCCATCAATGCCATTTTTATATGGGATTGTCGTGTGTACTTGCGATAGTATTGTTTTTTGCATTTGAATCAAAGTGACCAAAATTCCAATCTGATTTGGTAGCTATACATCAAACTTATAATTTTATTTAAAGCAAGTTAAGTTCATTTGAACAAATATCTCAGGAATCTTAGGATTGTATCCTGTCTATGATAAGAAAATGCCACATTGTCAATGATATAACATAGAAATTGATGTATAATTGTACAATTAATTCAGCTTTTTGTTATCACCACCAGATATGATTTTCAGCATTGTACGTCTGTAACAATGTATCAAATAGCAGGTGGTGATATTTTGCATGTTAACGCCTTATTGTTAAATATCACAGTGGCATTTTGCCATCATTATATCCATGACCTATTTAACTTTAAAACCTCTACCATTGAGTGTACTTGCAAAACTGGTTTTACCCTTGTGCCTGCTGAGAAGTGTACTTGTTTAAATATGTCCAGACTATTAAAAGTTAAAAGTTTTGAAAATTTTAAGAAGTCACTTTTAGATGAATAATCATATATTTTATAATGTACATAAAAACTATTTAAACCATCATATTTTATTTAAACAAATTCTTTACGAATAAATTAACTTTCATTTACCACGCACAAGAAACAAAAGTTAAGACCCGACTTTTGTCCAAAGTGTCCATTTTTAAAGTCATCCTGTCTGGCGTCTAAACTATCCATTCCAGCTGCTTTTGAAAGCACTACTTGCGATAAATTATACCCTGTTTCATTCCATAGAAATAAGATTTCTTTATAAAAACTGGTATCTAAGTGTTCTTACCTTTCACATATACAGATAACTGAATGTCTTTGCACACGGATGTCTAAGTCTTAAACTATATTTATACACTATTCTTATAAAGTATTTACAGTAATTATACTTTCTTTGATATTTATTGCATTTGATATTTTATATTTCAACACGGATGCATTCTCTTTGAGAAATGTATTTGTCAATAAAGTTAATGATAGCAAACATTTAGTTAAATTCAGTCTTATTTGTTGAAAGGATGTTAGAGAAGGTGTCAGTTTTTCAGATCTCTGTTGTATCATTTTGATTAGTCTATGATAAAATGTTTCACAAATCATTTTGACTTTTCAAAACTGGTCAAAATTGTATCTCTATTTGGATTATAATTGATTGGCTGTTTCCAAGAAACACTTATTTTTCATGTGGATTTAATTTTCATGATATTCGCGGGGGGGCATTCAACTTGTAAAAATAAAGTGTTAGTGAAAATATATGAAATGAGAAAAGAAAGTGAAATTATCAGTTGAATGGAAGTGGTCATGTAGATGAAGTTGAAGGTCAATTTTATCGAGGTGTTATGTAATTATACTGATAGCAGTATTAATGCGAGGAAAGCAGACTGTATAGGGAGTTATTTCATGATGTAGATATAATTAGATAGGTTGGAATAGCCATAAAAATTATACACATACATTACATTTGTCATATGGAAATAAAATGGAAATGAAAATGTCTATTAACAAAAAATTAAGTCAACCCAGACGATTGACATTCGTTCACCTGATATGTATAAATTATTGGGTGCTCTGCACACCATACTAAACTAATATTATCTCAAAATAGTCCAAAATGAATGAAGAAAATGTGCAAGTTTAGCATTTACCAAAGCAAGCTTTTGTGCAGGTTTTCTGTGCAGGTCAAAAGGCGTGGACTTTCTTGTTTTTCTTTTAAACATTTTTCCTTATCTTCACAACTTTTCCAGGAAAAATTATGATCATTAGATGAAAAACATAAGGAATAACTTTAAATCGATATCCAAAAGTCTCTAATTGAAATAATGAAAATAATCAGGGAAAACGATTCCTTCAAATTGAAGGGCTCCTCTCAAAAAACAATTCCTTCAATGCGGCGGGGGGCTCCTCGTGAATATAATGTGTAGCAAATTGACCCAGGGAGGCACTTCTTTAAAAATGCATGTATTATGTAGTAGATATTTACCCTTAAATGGTTAGGCTGTAGAGAATAACACCAACAGTTAGCCCCCACCCCCATGATCTTGGAAATAAATAATCAGGCGGTTGTATTAGGTATCATTGGAAAGGTTATTCAATTCCCAGTAATTTGAGCTTACTAATATAATTATTATATTGAGTCATTATTGTTGAAGAAATTCATTTTCTAAGAACATAAGGATTTATCATTTCATGTCAAAACTACTGACAATTGGGTATTTCTGTTATTTTGACCAGCTCTAACTTTCCTGGGGCAGATGCCCCCCCCCCTAACTGTTTAAGGGTTATAAGTGTTTTACAGTATGTGCCAGTATCCCTTACTTTCAAAAGATTCACAAAAGTAGGGATTTAGAGAAGCCATTTGTCCAAGATTCAAGATGGTTTCCTCACAAAATAAATTACAAGAGATTTACATATTATACAGATATATATTAAAATGGTTTACCAAACATTTGAATTTAATATGACTATCATACAATCTAGTCTTTTCCATTTTCTTTTTTAAATAGCTCCCAACATTGATTGAAAAGTTTTATTTATGAAATGTATCAATTCATTTACAACTTGATAATCATTAGAAGCCTTTAAAAGCTTATATTTTTCTTGATTTGACATATTATCAAAGGTGTAAATAAAATTATTCCATAGTTAGCATGATATTCATAGGATAACATGTGAAAATAAAAACAGTATTTTTGTAATCAGTGGTAAAATATGATATTTTTGACAAATTTCCACTTAACCATAGCATACGGTTTTTTAACCATGACATACGACGTCATATGCGATGGTTTATGGATTTTTGCTACTTCAGACTCAAAACAAGGCTAAGTGTCAACATCGCCGGATCGTTTGGAAAATTCGAATTAAATGACTTAATTTCCGACGATTCTGATGATGACTTTAACTATGGAATAAAAAGAACATCCTACGATTTACTCGTGATATGATTTTAATCCACTCATGGTTATTGATATCTGCACTCTCTCGCTACGCTCACTCGTGCAGATATCATATCCATTCGTGGATAAAAATCATATCACTCATAAATCATAGGATATCCTCTATTTATCCCACCTTAAGTGCTTTATATGATTGTATAATAGCATTGTATAACTGCAATATAAAACTAACACTCATCGTATACAACTCTTGAGAACGATATACAACTCCTGGATAGCGTATACAACTCCTGGGCAGCGTATACAACTCATGGGCAGCGTTTACAACTCTTCGACTTGATATACAACTGCTGAATTTAGATAAACCTTTTATCGATTGAATATTAGGGTGGGATAATAAGATCATATAATGGTTGATTCTGTATATCGTTATACTCTCGTGAGTATATGATATATTCACTCGTTCCCTTCAGTCACTCGTAAATATATCATATACTCACTTGAGTATAAATACGATATACGGAATCAACCATTATATAACCTCATACTATCTATCCATTTTATTTGTATGTCTGTCAGTTTATTTGTCTGTCCAGGCGATAACTCAAGTACTAGTTGACAAGAAGAAATTTCCTAAATGGCTGACAATTTAAAATGGCCGCCATTTTTTGTAAAATATAAGCGTTCATAACTTATATTACATTACAACTATAGTTATATATTTATTTCAAATTTTATATGCTGGTGCATCTCTAGAATCAATTTTCAAAATGGCTACTACGTATATGACCACACTATTCAAATTGGCTGATTTTTTCAGGACAAAATATCATTTTGGCAACTCAAAAGTCCACTTAAAGGGTTCCGATAAGCTTCCCGTATAAAAACAATATGGCAGCTCCAGGCGAGTCAACTGGATCAGTCCATTTTAAGAAACAAGGGGAGTTTTGCAAAATTAAAAGTTAATTGAAATTGTCTTCGAATAAAGTTTATAATAAGTCTGAAAACATTATTGAGAGAGTGATTTTTCAAAGAATGCATGTACAACAGCCAATATAAATCATTATCCCATTGAACGAAGTTCGGAGGGATATAGGGAACGCCTCCGTCCGTCCGTACGTCCGTCCATCCGTCCGTCCGGGCAATAACTCAAATACCGTTAGCCGGATTTTGTTCATATTTTGTACACATATACCCTATGGGAGTAGAAGTTCTGCTCGAAAGCCAATTTTCAAAATGGCCGCTCATTTGAAAATGGTGGCCATTTTAGTGCCGATTTTACAGTAATTTAGGTGCAATATGTAAAACTGTTATAGGAATAAATGTAAATGTAAAAAAATTATATAGGACATTAATAAAGCTAGAAATGTAGATATTAAAGAAGCACATGGCAGCCATCTTGAAAAATGGCGGCCTTTACTCGTCATTTTACGATTTTTGCTGTAACTCGAAAAGTAGTGGAGCGATTTTGTTCATATTTGGTATGTGAATACAATAAGCATGGCACACTGTCTAATAACACTTTTGGTAGAAGGTGGCCGCGCCATTTTTCAAAATGGCCACCATTTTAACGTATTTTACTATAATTCGAAAAGTAGTAGAGTGATTTTGTTCATATTTGGTATGTGAATACTATAAGCATGGCACACTGTCTAATGACACTTTTGGAAGAAGGTGGCCATTTTGAAAAATGGCCGCCATTATAACGTATTTCACTATAACTCCAAAACTAGTGGAGCGATTTTGTTCATATTTGGTATGTGAATACTATAAGCATGGCACACTGTCTAATGACACTGTCTAATGGTAGAAGGTGGCCATTTTGAAAAATGGCTGCCATTTGTGCTATATACTTTGTTTGTAAATATGCCAGCCATGGCTGTTCGATGGGATTCGCTACACTTTGGCGTTGCCATTGTTCTGGTTGTATTAGAACTGCTTTGTTTCATTTGGAGAATATATCATATGCCAAGCTCTGTGTTAATACGTTATTGGGAAATTTAGATGTCAATTTGTCCTTATAATACACAAATAGATGATCCTGAAATGTTAGCGATGAATGTGATATGGATTTGTTAAAATGAAAATCTCCCTTTTATAAATGTGTGACGATCTATACTGTACCAATGTTATATAAAAGTTAGAGGTGTTGACACAACGACCTCGAGCCTTTGAACCCTTGAGTATTATTCCAGGATCGAGCCTTTTATACTAAATGGTGAGCAACACCAGAAACGAGCATTCGATTTGCTAAACGATATGCGTCACCCTTTAAAATTGAATAAACTGTTAACTCATGGGTAGACTCTGCACGCAGGGTAGGGTATAGGTCCTCTACTTCAGAGAAAGTTTCATTCATTGACATTAAGTTTAAATTAGCTGCCATTTTCTTAAGAAGTGTAATTTTTGATAAATTAAATAGTATAACTTATACAACTCAGATTTGTTTCTTTTTAATAAAAAGGCCTGTGTCTGATATACACATATTATCCTACACTTAGTGTACTAAACATAATTATACTAAAAAATAAATTTGATATTTATTGGCAAAATGAATAACTGGAGGATATTGTAATGATATACTCCTGGCGGAGGATATCGTGATGATATACTCCGGAAAACCCAATATGCGGAGGCTATTGTGTTGATATACTCCGCTTGTTGATTTCCCGCCAAGTTGACTGTATTTGCCATGAAATTCATTTTGCAATGATGTTATACATTTAGTACACTCCTTGTAAGTGTAGGATAATAAGAACATCTAGTCTAATCCTTTGGTTTTTTTCAGAATATCATTTTAATCTTCTTGGTGATATTGATATATGCACTCGTTCGCTTTGCTCTCTCGTGCTTATATCAATATCACCTCATAGATAAAAATGATATTCCTCAAAATTATAGGATATCCTATAAACATTTGCTCTATCAGCATGTCTCTAA